AAGAGTCCAGTGTAGAGCAACAAAAATGCATGACTTATGAGGAAAAGTTGAGAGTCTGGGAAAAAAAAAGACTGGGGGTGGGATTTGATAACAGTCTTCAAATACCTGAAGGGTGATTATAGAGAAGCTGGAGATGGGTCTTCTTCAGTGATGTAGTGGACAGGACAAGGAGCAATGGCCTCAAGCTGCAGCAGCAAAAAAAAAAAAAAGGTTGTAGATTAGGAGGAAGTTTCTCACTATGAGGATGGCCAAGCATTGGAACAAGCTACTAGAGAAGTTGTGGAATCTCCATCTCTGCAAACTTTCAAGAGCAGGTTGGACAGACACTTGGCTGAGACAGCTTAGCTGGGGGATGAGCCTGCCTTGTAGAAGGCCAGGCTAGATGATGTCTTGAGGTCCCTTCCAGGCTTAGTTTCCTACTTGTGAGTGTACTGTGAGTACACTGCAACTGCTTTTCTCTTTAATATCAGTCACCACACAACCCAGAGCGTGCTCCTTGTGGGGAAGCTGGGCTCTTCCCTTCTCCACGCTTAAACTTCTCATTTCTGCCCTAGAGTTATCAAGGGAGTGGGAAACAGAAAACAGACCGACTCATCCCTTTGACCAAATTTTCATGTGGAATATAATAATAATTCTGGCCAGTTTCCACCACTCTGATACACAGAAGACTGGACTTTTGATCACCAGGGCTGTGGGTTGCAACTAGCTGTCAACAGAAATGTAGTATTTCTGTACAAACTTAATGACACCTAGCATTTTAACTACTCAAATTATTTTAACTACTTAACTCCATTTAGTAAATCCCTCAGTATGGTATATCTGGTACAATATTTACTCAATATGCACCAAAGCAATATGGATTTAACTGGAGTGCATTTTTTGAAGACAGCTAGTCAGGCTGTAGTGTGTAACTTTAACACTGACTGCAGCTCCTACAAAATGAAAAGTGTGAATATCTCTTACTTGAGTCCCTTCTGATGTTCTATATAAGTTTTTAGGTAATATTGCCTCTGCATTTGTGCTGGTGTTTCACAATACTATTTTATTTAATTCTGATATACTTTTCCATCTGATTGCAAAATATACATGGTGCAAATGACATCATAGTAACATGCCTATTCAATTCCATAATAGACCACACCTGACAAATTTGTTCCTTATGAATCGAAGGTAAATCCTATGGCTGTTTTGTGTTTGCGCTTTTCAGCTAAAATCAAATGTATACTTTTAAACATATAAACTGATTTTGAGAAAATAAGATAATGAAAACACCTACCAAATAGGTTAGTTTTGACCTAAAATTCTAAACAATCTTTCGAAAGGATCAAGATGCAATTCAGACAGGATTTTTCCCCCTCGGGTACTGCCAAGTTGTCCACCGATTTGCAATTATAGATTAATTTAATAGTCATATATGATTCAAATACTTAATGCCAATAGACTATTCAAGGGAAAAAGAGGCTGACTAAATTTCATGTGAACTTTCTTACTCAGGAGTAAAATGGCTGTACACTGCAATAAAGAAAACAGGCATTATTCATGTCTGAATATGGCTAACATCCAAGCTGGATTTTCAGATTATCACGACCAGTATTTGTATAAACACATAGGAGGATGAGTGAATGTAGTACTTGTAATATATCTGTTATTAGGATAGAAGAATTCAACTAAAAGCCTCCATCTCTCATTGTGCAAACCCAGGCCAGGTCCATTGCTTCCCACCACAACTAACGAGAGCAATGTTGCATTCAGTTCCCAATTATAAAGGGTAATATCTTTGCTTGACATTTTAATAAGCATCTTTTCAAGCCATGCAAAGAACTCTCCAACTGTATGGTGGTCAGCTTCTGTCATTTGCTCTCATCTTCTGAGATCCCCAGTAGTAGAAACGACCTCTACCATTCCACCACGGCTGTGAGATTCCACGCACATCCATCTTGCATCTTCCTAATGTATAAATACTCTGCACATCTGATGCTCCTACTGTGATGATTCACTTGTGAAGGATCAGGTCATTCTTTTCCCATAGAATCAAAGACCGGCTCTGAATTTATTACAGGATTTGGGACAGCACTGTCCAGTATGTAACCAGTACACTTAATGGTCACTATCTCTTCTCCCATATGTTATGTCTCAACTTTTAGCCTGGAGCTCTCATCATCCAGTACCTAACATGAAATGTTTTTCCTTTATTCAACCATGCAGTTCTTGGGGGGATGGGGCAGTGTCCCACTGCCTGCCTTTTAGTTTGTGGTCATTGTTAAATCAGATCATTTGACTTTCAATGGCATCTCCTTGAGGAAACATAAGCTCATCCACCCAAAGGCACTGTTTTTTCCTGAGGAGCGACAAATTACTTAAGCACCACCTAGCTTTGAATACTACTATTACCATCATGGTAGAAGGTTTTCATCCAGTCTGATCTATAGTCATCTACACTAGGATTATGCCAAATTAGGGACTGGAGAAATGAAAGACTCCACAGAGTTTCAATGCATTTTGTTATGCATATGGTAGAAATTCATTATTCGCAATGTAAGTAGGAAAAGTACTGCAGATGGAAATGCAAGTATATTTCATCAGTCACAAATAAACGCTTTTAAAATCTTCTGACGCTAATTTGACACAACTGGCCATATAAAGCTTTGACAGAAAGTTGCTCTTATCACTTGCAAGAAAAAATTATATCCAAAAATCCTGTTAACTGAATTTATGACTCCATATATTAGAATAAAACATAACATGGAGAGGGTCCAGAGGAGGGCCACCCGCATGATCCGGGGACAGCAGGGCAGACCCTACAATGAGAGGCGATGGGACCTGAACCTGTTCAGCCTTCACAAGAGAAGGCTGAGGGAGGACCTGGTGACCATCTATAAACTCACTAGGGGGGACCAGAAGGGTTTGGGGGAGACCTTGTTTCTCCCAGCGCCCCCCGGGGATAACAAGGAATAACGGCCACAAGTTGTTGGAGAGTAGGTTTAGATTAGACATCCGCAAGAACTACTTCACAGTCAGGGCGGCTAGGATCTGGAACCAACTTCCAAGGGAAGTGTTGCTGGCTCCTACCCTGGGGGGCTTTAAGAAGCGGCTCAATGCCTACCTGGCTGGGGTCATTTGAGCCCAGTTTTCCTCCTGCCCAGGCAGGGGGTCGGACTTGAAGATCTACAAGGTCCCTTCCCACCCGACTTCTATGATTCTATGAATAGATTATGTAAATTGAAAGACCAATTTGAGGTAGACCTATATTTAAAATGCTATATGTAATTCAGAAAAAGTTAACCAGTTTATTGGTGTAAACAAAGATATTTTGTTAAATGACATTTCCATCAAAGCTTTATAACCAAATTAAAGTGAACACAAAGTGAAGGGTTACATATTTTCTGTGGCTTCTATAACAGCTAATCCAGAAACACTAACTAAAGTGTTATTGTTCATTCCTTATGCCTCTTTCATAAATTAGATAAAACAATGTGACAGTTAGTAGTTGGGAGTCTTATTCTAGTAAGTGATTTCATAGGCATCTCAAAACCTAGCAAAGTTATGACTTTAAGCACTGATAAATCTTAAGTTTTCCTCCACTGTTAAGAAAAAAACTCATTAACTAAAATAAGCAACACAATATCTAAACAATGCAATAGTCAAAAAGTCACAGTGTGAAATGAATCATGCCATGGTTAGAAAAGCAGTCAAAGCAATGGGATATAAAATATAACAGCAACCATACACCTTTCTTCTCCAAAGGCACAAGCCCATACCCTATCCTCAGTATATGGCTGAAACCCTCAAGAGCTTGACATACGAATGATGGTGGGACATGGCACAAAGTGTAGAATTCTCTGTTGCACAATATTTAAATCTCCATAAAAATTCATTCATTTCAAATGCTGAGCGTGTTCACCCCCAGTCAAGAATATAAAAAGGCAGCATCCCTGCCCTTCCCTGAACCATCAGACACATCATGCCAATGCATCTTACAAAGTTAGTAACATGTCATCTTTCTGTTCAGGTACTATAAAGATAATTACAGTCATTCGCTGCTAATGAGCTTTTCTCATTAGCAGAGGGCTTTTCTCCATTTGCAGTGTTTTCACTAACCTTTCGAGTTTATTACAAGAGGCTTACACTTCCATCTCTGAAAGCTGATAGAAATTTCCCTCTTTTAGAATTTCCCCTCACCCTGATACTGGGGTTTTAGGGGGGGGATTCAATTATGTTGATAGCCCAGGGGGAAAAAAAAAAGTCTCTTTCCGCATTTCATTCACATAATAAGAACGTGCAAGCTGTTGTGTGTGACAGATGAGCAACGTGAGCTAAAGCAACTTGTTCCGCTTGTCAGCCTCCAAGAACCAACAGCAATGAGAGACAATTGTGACGGCACGACTGCAGTAGAACTGGGTCAAACATCTGGTCACTCTGAAACGGGATATCAGCTGCTCTTTGTACTTCAGGAATTTGATTCAGTGGCATTCTGAAAACCATTACGTACTATTAGCTTTGTATCTATGTTCAAAATCTAGATCATATCACAACAACATTAGAAGAATCCTCTTGTGAGCCTTAAAGTTGCCATTAAAGTTAGCAGGAATCTCCAGATGACTGTCAGGTGCTGTCACTGGCCCCTAGAGACGTCAGGTACATTGTGCCCATAACAATTTAATGTGTTGTACCATTGGTTCTGAGCCTTTTCTTGAGAGCAATTTTCTCATTTTGAACCATGGGAACTAAATGGATACGGATGATGGCAAAAAGTATTATACAGGTATACAAACTGAAAGAAACGTGATGTACGTAAAACAACAAAAATCCAAATTAATTCCCAGAATTACTCGTTTTTATTTTATGACCACAAAATCATTCTTTTATAGTCCAGTGTTTCATATAGAAATGAGTACTTCCTATTACTTTTTTTTATTACATTACAGTGGAATTACTGATTGCATTATAATAAATGCACAAGAAGGACTGATACATTTTATTTGAAAAATCAACTTTATTCCAATGACATCAATTCACCGTACAGGTGGTATTTCCATTATGCTACTACAGCAAGAGCAAACAATTCTACCCCATAACATTACTGGTTTGCATTTGTTCACCTCCGAGTCATTTTGTACAGGCAGCTGACAATCATGACTTGTAAATTATTTCTCTAACAACGGATGTTAAGATGAAGATGGTTCTGACCCTGCTCTGATATGTGATCATGAAAGCCCTTATTCATTCACATCTAAAATTGCTTTTCTTCAAAATCCACAGTCTTGAACATTATACATTTACTGAAACTGTGTACATAAGTGAACCTCAAGGTTCCTGGCCTATTAAGTTGTACGTGGCCAATGCTCTATGCAGAATGGAATCGAATATGCGTACGTGCAAGGGACGAAGGCAGAGAGAGGACATGTTTTCCCAGCTGTGCACCTTAGCACCATCCAACGCAATATAGCCATGCCCATAGAAGTATCTCAGATTTCACCTCCTTCCTGTACGTTAATTTAAATTAGCCTTCTAGCCAAGCCAATAAGACATCCCCCTAGGTGGGGTGAACACAACTCCATGAATAAACTGTCTTCCCTTAGCTGGAAAAAAGGCCAAATAGTGACACACACAATTCATGGAGCATCATTCTCGTGAGAGCATCTACATAGTGTTTCAGCATGTGCAGAGCAAAAGCTGTTTTCTGCACACGTGCAGAACAGGAGGTGTTTTTCTGCTTGTGCTCCCTAACAGCATCCTACCCTACTATTCAATCTGGAGCAGGCAATATTTTTCAAAACTTGGCCATAAAATTTTCTGTAACACCAATCAAGAAGGTACAAAGAGCCTCTTTAGAGACAACTTCAGGCTGATTGCACTAGCACCAGAAGATTTTAAGATATTATGCAGCCGTAGTTCTCCACGCCAAACTCTGAAAAAATATATTTCATTTGCATATCATGGCATGTCACTTTGCCCCGCAAAAGAGGATATTCTGAGGATCACCATACCTCAACAATATATTGCTGGAAAAAGAAAATGAAAATGGGAGTGCTATCACAACCGTAACTGCCGATGTCACTGCCACCTCTTTCCAAAATTTTTACAAGGACAGTTTAGCACACCACAGACAAAATGAGAAAGCAAAATTCCAGTTTCCAATGGATAGCTATAACAACAATATATTTTAAATAATACAGTATTAAATTTTACCATTCAAACTCTGCATGTTATTCTTTTAAAAAAACATTTGTTTTGTTACTGAATCTCTTATTTGCAAAGTCACTCTCATTCTTACATTTAATCATATAAAGCAGAATTCAGTTTCCACTCAAACATTTCTAACTGCCAACTATGAAGCTACCAACTTACCCAAAAGGCTAAAATCTACTCTGAGAAGGTATTTAATGCAATCTACTTAGCTAAAACTTCCATTTGTCATTGATAATCACAAAGAATGTGCCATTTTAGAAGTAGATTGAAGGATTATTGAATCTCTCTGTAAGTATTTAAAATATTAAAATTAATCTCCGACTCATTGATAGTATCATGAATTCATATCCTAGGTGCATAATCTATATATTGTAGGTTTTGATGCATTTATTCATTTTACTGTTTTGTTTGCATTACACAATTGCCTCTACTGTATACGGTAACAAAAAAAGCCCCACCACTGAGAACAGTCAGCATTTTAAGTGACCAACTCTATGAAAGTTTGGGGTAGCTAAAAACTTGTCCATTATATAATCCTTAAAAGTATAATTGTTGTTTACTTCCTTTGATTTTTAAATATTTCTTTGATCTTATACATTAATATTCATTAGTCTTCTGATGTTGGACTAATGAGAATCTTAAGTGCTCATAAGAAGTCATTTAAACACTACACTATTAAAGATATTTTTCTGATTGATATGTTTATCTTCAATATTATCATCAATTTACTCTATGTCTGAATTCTTCAGTATTTTTGTTAAAACTCTCAAAAATATACTCCATACACAGTGAACAAAGAGACCAACTGAAACGCAACTAAAACTCCATTCTATTTAGCAACATAAACCACCATCAGTGCGTTGTCCAAAGTAGAGAACAGAATAAGTAGGTAACGCATGGGAACAGAATGAGTAATGATTATTTGAAGAGTCTTGTTTACTTCCTCTATGTTACATAACATACATGATTAATGTTTATGGTAACATACCTCAGACGCAAACAAGGGGAAACCTGGTGAATCTGCAAACTTTCTACTTGCAGAATTCACAGGCAACCTTCAGGAAAAAAGGCATTCCTACCTCACCAGAACTGAATACCAGTCCACTGAGATTCAACTGCTATGCAAGCACTCGCCCAATAACTTGTGTTTGCTAGGGCTCATAAAACTGAGGCAGCATCCTTTATTTAAAGACTATTTTCATAATAGCTCACCAGCCATCCACTAATAGATCCAGGATTGCTGTGGCAAAGGACATGTGGACTTTAGGGATAACCAGGTACTGAAGATACACAATCTAACATGTGGAAGCAGTGTTGCCTATCTAATTCTTGGGCTGTTAGGTGACAACTTCACTTAGATTTTTTTTCTCCTTTTTCTTTTCCTATTAAGCTGTAATGAGCCTGGTATATTGAGAAGACATGCTGTTTCCTTTTCATAAAACATGCAGTATTTCGTTCCTGTGTGTACACTCTCATACTGTGCTTATTAAGTGATTCAATGAGTTCTGTTCCACAAGACCGTGACATTTTTCTGGACTCTGTCATTAAATGGGATGTTATACACTACCTTCATCTTCACAAGGGTGAAGGTGTCTGGTGGGAGGCTTGGGCAGGACTGTACTGCACAAAACAGTCACTGTCTCTTTGGTATGTTCATATTAATTTAATTACCAAATACAGAAAGTAGGTCCACTTCTACTCTTGTTAAGAGTTTTGCCACTGATTTCAATGGAAACAGGACTGAGCCTAAAAAAAATGTTGATTTATTGCAGAAGCAATTTAAGGAGTGAAGTTCCATCTTACTACATCTAATGCACATGCAAAGATAATTAAAATATGCATATATTGAAACTCAAAAAAATACTGCTACTTCAGAAGTAAGCTTCTATGAAGGCAGCTTTAGTAATTCTACTTATCTGAATAATTGGAAGGATACTTTGTGGAAATATCATAACTGATTAAAGCAGAAAATGAATTGCGCAAAACCCTAATATGAGTGGTTAATGGCACAAAATTCTCACTACTTTTAGTGGTACCCGAATTTGTCGTACAGTAAGAATAACAATAGATAGTGTTCGAGTAATGGATTTATATTCTGAGCTTTCAATGTCATTTCTACTTCAAGTTTTGAGGTCTCAAAGATAACGTATGTTAAGCTCCTTTCTTCCTTTTTTGTTCTTACAAAATATAAAGCTATACCAATTTGAAACTGTCCAGCAGAACAATCTCCCCAAGGATTCACCATGCTGAAAAATGAATTTACAACATTATAAAGTAACCTTCTGATGAACTCTTCAGTGCAAGATGTGTCAGGAAAATGAGTTATGATATTGAGCAGTACAAATTCAGTCACGAGTGCCAGGATGCACACACGCTGGCATACACATGCATGTGCACGTAAGTTAAAAGACAAGGAGAAATATAAAGATGTCACTGGCCTGACTTTAAAATAACTACTAAACTCCTAACTGGAGAGACCTTGTTAAGCACAAAGTGTCCTCATCATGTCTCAAGAGGTGCTCGCCACCACACAGGATTGGACCCCAGTGACAAAGACCACATGATTGTAAAAAGAAAAGATTTCTGGGATTTTCAAACTTTTCTTTATGAATGCCATTTTTTCTGTTCCTTAATTTCTGAAGTCAGACAATCAAACACAAGTCCAGCTGTACGTTATAGGCCTTAGGGAGAAAGAGGTAAATTTTAACTAATCAATTTTAGAAACCTCCAAGTATTATCATGGTAGCTGTATATATACTAAATACTGTAATGCAAAGAGCTGACATGGTGCAGTCTCCCAGCAAAGTCATTTGAAAATGAGAGCTGAATGACAGGACAAAGCATCCAATTCTAACTAAGCCTGATTATTTGGACCAGGGAATCATAACCCTGCCCCTCTCCTGAGAATGACTGTTTCTTATCTTCTCCCAAAGATCAAGGTATGTTAATACTCTGGTTTTCCCCTAGTAGGTTAGGTGTAAAGCTCTAACTGCTGATTCTGATATTCAGTGCTAAGCGTAAACACATGCCATCATGGTATATCTGACGGAAACATACGGCTGTCCTTACCTACCCCCCTTATAAAACATCACATCAACACGTCACATTAAGTGACGCTGACATAAAACATGCTGATATCACAATATGGTACAATAAGTTATTTATGAAACCTGTGAAAGATGAAGAATGGCATAAGCCTTGTTACACGTTAGAGGCTAACCTACGTAGGGCATGCAAAGAATCTTAAACGTTTTTCATAGTGTAAGCTGTATTTTGTTTCTAAGCATTTTACAGTATTCTACGCCATTTCTAAATTTCATTCAATCCTTTTATCAGATTGCCAAACACAACTGCTTTTGTGTCAACTGGAAGCTTTCCATGGTGGCTACTGGGAACTGAAATATCAACGTCTGCAAAATTTAAGATTTCACATAAAAAATATCCATCTCTTCTTCTTTAGATACAAGGGCAACTTCCCAAACATAATCCCAAAATTACTCAGTATCATCCTCCTGAGCCTGCAGAAAGACAGCGCCAATGCCTCCGCTGCTGTTAATTTTGCCAAGCAGCATTGAGGTAGGTTCTGCGAGACTCCAGACAGTTTTAGTGCTATTAAGAAACCTACCAGATTCGTGTCCGTTACAGGTTACTGTTGATGGATGGAAAAAACTGTGAAGAGCAGCAAGACGCAGGCACTGCAGATATTCATGAGCAATGCAAACACTAACACCGAGATTAAAAAAAAATAGCAGACACGCCTGCTAACTTTAAACTAGCTAGCTTGATTAATAATTATTGGATAGCCACAACATCAGTGTGGATAGACTAGTCAAGCACCCAGCTCCTAAGCAAGGTTTTACGGCTCATCACAAATCCTGCAGAAGCATGGAAATGTTGCCTGCAATACCCAGGCTAGGTAATTTTAAGATAGCTTAGGTATTTCTATGAGCGCTTCAGTCACTCCTGCCACTGCCATGTGGACATATTCTGAATCCATCTCTTGTGAGTGAGTCTAACCCTCCAGTTAAAAAACGTGTTATTTACCAGAGAAAGAGTTGCAGTTCTTTAAAGGAGATTAATATCCTCTTACTCATAAACAGGACACAGAATAATTATCTAATATTGACATTATTGGGGGGGGACGGGGAGAAGAGTCCAAACTTCCTATAAAATGCGTGTTAAAATACTGTCTTTCAGTAAGGCCCTCACTTTCTGCACATTCAGGTAATACAACTCCACATCCTACCTCATTCAGATTTCATCTCCCAATAGACAAAGTCAGCTCAAGGGAAAAGATGTAATGTCAAAACGGTTTTGATCTATAAACAGAGCAAAATCTGCTGATTAGGTTCAGCAACAGATACAATTTTCAAAGTAAATGTAAACTTTACCAAATGTATTAACATTTAAGTAAGAAGCCATTACTGTTGTCTTGAAAATCTCTTCATTTCTCTGACCTGTTTTCATCATTTAAAAAAAAATCAATGCAAATATGATCTCAACCACTCTGTAATGCTAACACAATGTCAATGTAATGGAAAAGGCCTTGGGTGACAGAGTCATTGTTTTTATGACAAAACTACTTAGACACGTTTCAAGTGCAGTTTTTTTCCTCCCCTCCCCAAATCTCCAGAAATATGTATTTAATAGAGGCCCAGTTTCTTACTGATTGTTATTGGTTGTGCAGCTGAAAACTGTAATTAGCCATGCTTCACTGACTCAGACATGAATCCTTTTGTGGTTTTGATTATTATTCCTCCTGAATGTTAATGAACAGGACTATTGGAAATTCTAGGGGTTTCTTTCCTACCTTATTAAGCCACATGTGGCTCAAGCCAGTTAAATATTGTATATCTTCCAAATAAGTTATTTTAGCTGGAAAAAAATGTTACTCATTGATGCTATAAACATAATTTAAAAAGTAAATACACATAATAATGTATATTATATATGTATATCATCAATGCATTTTTAATCTAGAGCAAGTCTCAGACTTTTAATTTTACCTGAGAAATTTCAGAGAAAAACAAACCAGCAAGTGAACACTGGGAATTTATTTTTTATTAGTTTAAGAGTAATTAACAAGGGTTACCAACAATGCAAACCTTTTATTACTTTAAATTCCACAAACTAGCACCTCTCCTGACCTTTAGAGAGCTCAAGATGCATATGTATACAGAATAAACAAAATAATTTCAAAGCAAATTCATTGAGTGCACCTGACCTTTGAAACAGCCCAGATAATTTTAATCAGATTTGTACAGCGTTAATCTGTTTCCGTCTCCACCTAGCCACATATATTTTTAAATATCATAAAGATGAGCATGACAAAAATAACTGCTTAAGGAAAAAAAAAACCATAACATTAAATAAAAAGTTATCTTAATATATTTTTTAGAGTCAGTACAGAAGTCTAAGAGTCCTGGGTCCAGGTGTGAATACAGAATCTCTCTAGGCATCTGGCAGAGATTAGGCAACTGGGCTCCAGAGAAAAGGTGATGACAAGTATACTTCTGTCAGGAGAGTCAAAGAGCAGGCACTGGCCTCGGAGGAAGTTGTTCGCTCTCCCTCTGTGCAATTCAAGAAGAGAAGGGGAAAAAAACCTACCAAAACAAATCTGAATTAGCTACAGAAACAATCACTTTCTATACAGAATATACCTTCAGATTAAGGTGGTGGGAGCAGATGCAGTAAAACAGTTAATTGTGACCTTCAGCAGTCATGAGCAGCCATCTTTTCAGCCAAAGCTCATTTCTGTTTGCACAATGCTTTGAAAGTCAGTCACTGAAGTGTAGAGATCAGCCCAAGACAAAAGCAGTTTGGGCCAACAAGTAAATTCCTCCATATGATTGATATTACTGATATTCGATGACAAGATAGGGAAGGGAAGCAAAGAACGTAAAGTGGCAAGTTTATCTGCAAAGATTCAAAGCAAATGTGTTCCTGCATTACTGAAGATGTAGTCGTGTGACAATAGGATCCTGATTTAGTAGAAATAGCGAGCAAAATGGTGGGCAGGGTAAAATACAAGTAACAAACCACGGGCTTTTTCAAAGCATGCAAGTGCTCAGTGAGTGACTTTAGAGAAGGAAGGTGACTGAAGCTCCAAAGCATCAGTAGGAATTTAAGACAAAGTTGTAATTTTGGTGGTTGCAATTGGATGAAAGCCCTCTTTGGTCACATAGTGCCCTCTAGTTCAAATGACTTAAAGGCTTCACCATTCTAAGCCTGTAAGTTATTTGACCCTACTGTACAAGGAGATTAACGCTCTAGAATAATTTATCCTTGTAAAGTAACCTTGAGGAAAAAACAAAAGCAACGCTTTTAGCTACACAAAGTTGTAAGTACATATTTGTCACAAAATTCAATTTTATATATTGTTTATTTCCTTGTACTAGCAATTTTCACTTGTTTGTGATTTTTATTTTTAGAACAGTAGTTTGCCTTGATTTAAATCCGGATGTAAGATGAAAGATGGCATTTCAAGACACATTCAGCCAATTACATTATAAAATGAGGCTGGATGAAAGCTCTTATTTTCTGAACTGTACTTTTACGTACCCTGTATTTGATCTTAAAACATACAATCTTTCTTCATTCCTGCCTTCAAGATGGTACCAAATAAGACTGCAAAAGAGCATTGCCAAAAACAGAATCAATTGAAGGTACGTAAATGCATGCATGTGTACTCCAATGGCCATTCCTATGAACATCACTAGGAGTTGAGTGCATGTAAGGTAAAATTTAGCCGTGCAATCTACAGAGGGCCTGTCAACTGATACATTTTCTTGACATCAGCTTCAGAACAAAAGCAAGAGACCAGAATGCATGAACTGTTTGAATCTGAATGTAAGTGGCAGGGAAAATGCTTTAAGGTAAATCATACAAGATATAGTAAATGCTTTGGAACAACTAAAAAAGAAGATGGCATGATAGTCTGACTCATTCACGTTTCTCATAAGCCTTTATGCCAGTATCCTGATAAGAATTCCACATTTCATTGGCCAAAGCGTTTACTTCATGCTGTACTGCAGGCAATGCATCTAAATCTACAGCTACACATATACACTTGGAAAAAAAAGCTAAAGACATTCCTTTCAATTCCCCACCTCCCGGACTTCAACTCCTCCATATTTCTACTGCAGCCTAGGGCAATCCTTCCACCTTGACCCTTCCACCAGTCAAACTCCTCCATTTTTATTTCCTCAATTTGTGTCCACAACTTTCACACATCTCGATTTTGGAACTAAAGGAAACATTAATCTTTTAGTGATGACTAACTTCTGCAAAAACCAGCAAGGGTTACTGGTGAATAACCACAGCAATTCCAGCTCATTAATAATGGTGTCTAGTATAACAGACTGGAACTAAACTCCAACCTGATGACACGGACTACCAGCATTTGGTCATCAGTTGATACCTTTCATTTCCAAAAGGCAGAAAAATTAGTGGTAGTAACATTTACTATTTGTATTACAGGACTGTCTAGAGCGCAGGGGAAGAAGAAAGAGCAAACAAGTCATTTCTGGATTTGAAATCTGTGGACCCAAGCCCCCTGTTCATCTGCTGTTGCTTTGTTCCCCAACATGCTTATAACACTTTGCAACTCTACAGTAACTTGTACAAGCAAATCTCATGCTGTAGGGCATCAGTCAGTCACCTGCGGGGTCAGGAAGAAGTTTCTTCCCCACTGTATAAACCCGCTTCTGTGCATTTCCTCATCACCACCACCTTCTTCTGTAGTATGAGAGTTAGGCCACGGCTAGAGATAAGATATAGAGCATGGCTGTCCAGTACTAAGACATGGTACTGAGAAGTCTCTCAAGTGCCTGGCTGGTGTGCCTCATACATAAGATTTCATCTAATCCAAGTCAGGTTGGCAGGGACCCTTAGGGATGCTGGAATCATCTGTTCATACCTTAAAAATTCAGTGCTTTAGACACTGATTGCTCCTTTCTCTCTGGTTCTCTGTCTATGGCATGCATTTCATGACTTTGGAATACTGTGCAACTAAAAGCTCCTGAGGTTATCACAGAAAACTTTAGAAATACAGTGAGAGTCTGAGACAGAGAGAAAAACCAAATGATCTAGTGGTTCTTTCTGGCCCTGATTTCTATGGACCTATGAATAATTTTGGTGCTAGGAAGGATGACCCTAGTTCAAAAATCTCAAATCAGATCCTCTCCAAAAAATGAGGTTTTAAAATTACACACACAGAAGCGGGTTTTGTTCTCTCTTCGAACATTTCAATATGTAAAGGGAACTCTCCCAGTTTCAAATCATCATCTTGCCAGAAAGAAAATTCAATATTAATGCACATGAAATCATGGCAGGCTACATGTGGTGGGGACTCTCGTGTGGTGGTGACTCTGCCTAGATCCCATTTGAACCTATCATATGGGATAAATCATTCCCCTACTTTCTTCCCTATCCTTCCTGTCCCTCACAATGCATCCTCTGTACAATTTATTCTCTACCCTCCCAATATTATGTCCTTCCACCTCCTCTACATGCCTTCTAAGCTCCCTGGAAGCAGAGTGGCCATTTTCAGGGGGAGCAGTCTTAACAGATTCAGCCCAGACCTGCTTTATTTGAACTGGCTTAAGGAGAAAAAACAATGCAACCTGAAGGCATAGACATAGCTGTTTCTAAAGGGTCTGGTAGCTGAATGAAGGCCTGACCCTGTAAACTACAAAACACCTTCTATTTGGACCTAAGCACTCAGAACTTTTATAAGCTTCAATAAGAGTAAGAGGTTATTATCATTATCCTTCAGGAATTGGAGTTAATTAAGATATGCCCATATGGAGGAAAATGTGTTTTGGTGTGCTCTGAACTTAAGTTGGCCAGTGTGAATTAGTTAACTTGAGTGAAAACAGCAGTGAGGGCAAGGTAAATTGGATTTTAACTGGAGTTGAGGAGCTTGCCTTTAAATATATAAGGGAGCCTGGAGCTGAACTGAGACTGCTAACCTAATTTAATATACAAGTTACTTTGTCTTCACGGGTATTTTAACCCAAGTTAACAACGTATCATTTTTCTGTAGCATAGACATAGCCTAAGTGCGCATCTTGTGCTTTTCTAAATATAGTCTTGACGTTTGCAAGTCAGTGGCTAACAAGGCTGTAAATATCAATTTAAGATTTACTGCAATTTAATCATCAGTTTACATGATTTCTGAATGTATGTTATCACATTTGAATATATCAACATGAAGTTGAAGCTCCTGCTCTTATTTAAGTTAGAACTTTTTCTCCCATTATGTATTTTTGCATTACAAGCCTGCTGGTACCACTGGTTACTAATTTGGCTTTTTAAAAATATGATCCAAGGCTATTAAATGCTTAGCATATTCCAGGAAAAATTAGTTCAGTCATCCATATCATTAAAGAAAAAAAGAATGTTTCTATAAAAAAAGATGTCTCAGGTAATTTAAAAAATGAGCGACAGTACTGTGTTGAATGAAGACCAAGTTCAGTCAATAGCAGTTCCTTCTGTCAAGATTTGCTTGCTTCAATATGATCTATCAGTCAATTAAGACTGAAGCGATCCAGGCTTGCCTAGTTAGTAGTCAAAATTGCTTTTTCCTTTTTTTAAATATCCTGTAATTCTGACAAGTCAGGACTGGCAATTAAACATATTTCACCAGCTTTTACCAGGTAACAACATTAATCTGCAAGAGGAGTGACATGAAAGAGTACAATGTTAACTATCTCGTCCGCAAAAATTATTTACACACACACATATTTAGGTATGCCACTTTAACCTTATTGTAATTCTTATAATCTGTCATTTAAAGAACGTTTTGAATAAGATGTTTCTGGGTTTTTTTATTGGAACACTATATAGTTCTAAAAAAATTAACCACTAGTGACAGTTTTTTAAAGACACTAATGCGGCAGTTAAGACAGAGTAAGCTCTGACAGTGCACAGGGGCCCGGAGCTTGAAAAGTTCACCAATCAAAGCTACTCCAAGTTTTGAAGTTCCTTAGTATAAAATGCGCATTGCAGTAAATGTAAAAATACATTCACTAAGTAGGGAAACGTTTTCACTACATTTGTGGCATCTATACATCTACTGAGAGAAGACATGAGAGAACAGGGATGCTCAACACATTAGAGATTTGTGTCTGCTTATGTATTACAGGTGTAAGGACGAACACTGGCCAGCAACAGCTACTAAACTCATAGAGCTGTTGAGTTTCAAAGCTGAGTTTAAAAGCTATGAATGGGCAGGAAATTATAGCATGGCTGCCCTTTGCAGAAGGGGAAAGGATTCATATGTGGGTAACCATAATTTTGACTTTAGTTAGATCCCTGCTGTTACTATTATGAGATTACTTTGAAACCTCTGCCACAAGCAGAGCTTTTCTAGCTGCTATCAGTGATGCCATACTGATTTTCTCTCTCACCACCACCCATTTCACTAACAAATATATCTTCCCCTCCTTTTCTTAGTTTATATTAAATAAAAATATAATGACCACTTGACAATAAAAATCTAAATAGGAAAAACAATAGAGTAATTTAAGTTCCTTCCAAGCCATGCCATAAATTTTCCTCTGCTTTTTCCCAGTCTGTTACATTCCCACTTCTTTTATAT